CGAGGAAGATTACGAACGTGGTTGATGTGTTGACTGGCTTGATACTGCTTTTCTTTCTTTAGACTACGTGTACTCGAATGCCTGACTAAGCTGTCAGTTGTGATTAATTACTGTTAAAGAAATAAATTTTAATCAACAAGCTTTGTTTGTTTTATTGTGGTAGTCCTGCACTGTCACCTCTGTGTTGATTGATACAGTATATATATATACACTAGACTTCGCAGGTGTTTTTCTTTTGATGTATAGAAATATCATGAAAAAAAGTAAATCCTGATTAGTGTCATTACTCACAGTACCAAACCGGCCTAGCAATGGTTGTTCTGAAAAGATATTGAAAAAGTCCTGAAGCGTTGTTTCGAGGATGTGCTGAGGTTGTTATGTGTATAGACAAGGGGATGGGATTAGTGCCATTCTAGTACCATAAGAGGACATTATGACATCGTCATATTGTCCTCATGAAGGCATAATGAGGGCATTCTGAGGTTGTGTTTGTGTTGTCTCGGAGAATTTTGAGGTGCATTCGTTTTATTTCATGAAGATGACTGCAAACGGCATCAAAGACATTGCTGTAGCTGTAGCCCAGAACCTAAGCACCAAAGGAGAGTATATTCTCAGTGGTGAAGGGCAGCCTATGGTTAGCAAATGGGGTGACAAGACGACGTTTTCCTAATAGTCTGTAGTTTTTGGACGTTAAACCCCAAATATCAATCAGTAAATCAATCAATCCTAATTGTCTGTAACAGCCACATGACAAAAAATAATGTTCTAATAATTTGAAATCTGTACAAAAGCTGCATAGGGGAGATATTCCCAGACCACAGCCCTGTGGGAATATAGATTTAAAGGGGGCACAAGACATCGCAATCTTGTTAGCATGACTTCCAGTTGTCTAGTATGGCACCAGTCGGATTTCCATCAATATTTCAAATGTCGAAGTTCAGTGCATGGTGTTGCTGCTTCTGTGGCATCAGCCCGGAGTGAAAATTTTCGATATATTATCACCGTTATACTGCACAGCACCAGAAGCGCAGAATGTATTGGGCCATTTAATGCCAATCGAGCTAACGAGTCTACCATTTCATTTAATTATAACCCGCAATGTCCAGGTACGCATAATAGTTTTAAGAGCTTCAGCTGTGGAGGAATTAGCGTGAGGAATGCAATTAAGGCATCTAATTTAGATGAAGCTGTCAGTGATGTACATACGGACAGGGAGTCGGTAATTATTATAGCAGTGTGGGTGTCCAAAGTTAGTTCTTGTAGTGCTAGAATAATTGCCAAAAGTTCAGCTTCAAAAGTAGGTGTGAAGTCTGGTAGTCATACTGAAAACAACCAGTCAAGTGAAGGAGATGATCCCCCGTATTCACAAACGCTCCTCGACTCGACTTTCACAGAGTTGAGCACTGCGCCGCCGCTCGTATGAAAATGGCGCGGCGCTACTCAAGAATCGCAGTAGATTATCGCTGATGTGCAGTGATTTGTCGTGACTAGAGACAGCTCTCCCATCGGCTTTCTCAAGTGAAGGTGGAGTGTTGAGTCAAAGGACGTTCTAGAATATGGGGGTACATACCTGCTGCTGCCTTTTGGTCTATCACTGAAGCATCACTGGCTATTACATAAAAAAATCCGCCAGCTTTGTTTTTCCAGCGCGCGTGGTGTGTTGACACGTGCAGTCCAGCGTTGCATGGCGAGTTTTGCTTGTTGGTGTGGCGAAATTCATGAGAGCAGGAAGCGGCGCAAGACTACAGCGGGTGTTTAGCAACATGCGGCATTAGTCCCCCTCCTGAAACGCATCGTCCCGATGCGTACACTGACGTCGAAGAGTTTTGGAAAGTAGTATTCATTTGATGCTTGAGCACATTTAGCAGTTTATCGTTTCAGTGCCTTTTGCAGTACTGTTTCATCCTACTACATGTACGTCTTCTGGGTTATTCCTGCGCCGAGTTGAGCACACTTGACTTTCAGGAATCGCTTCGTGGTTCAGGGTGTCAACCGACGAAGTACCTTGCGTGGGCTGACATAGCGCGGCATCAGCTTTTCAGATAGGCCAGGTGTACATGCAGGTGTCCACACCCATACTTTGTCTCCGGGGGTGTACTGTACGTCTTTCCGCTTCAGATTCTAACGACTTGCATCGAAGCCTAGTTGTAAAATGATATGATGCCTTGCTAAATCTCGTGCCTTTTCTGCCCTTACTACGTAATCGCTGATGTCCGGGTCACCCTCATTCGCATCGTAGACAGGTAACATCGCGTCTTAGGTCGTTGTGACCGTCAGACAGGAAACAAGATGAAATGGCGTGAAGTGTGTCGTTTCTTGTACTGCGGTATTGTACGCAGATGTAGCATATGGCAAAACACTGTCTCATGTCTTGTGTTCCACGCCAACATACATTGAGATTTTGTCAGCGAGAGTTCGGTTGAGTCGGTTAGTCCGTTTGTTTGTGGATTGTATGCTGTAGCCCTTCTATGGTCGGTATGCGTGAGTTTCCTTACAGACTGCATCAAACGGGCAAAAAATGATATTCCTTTGTCAGCAATGACGACCTGCGGTGCGCCATGTCGTAGTACAATCTGAGTGACAAAAAAAATGGGCTACTTCGTTCGCTGTTTCTTCTGCGAGAGGCGACGTCTTAGCATACCGAGTCATGTAGTCTGTTGCTACAACAATCCAGCGCTTTCCTGATGAAGAGAGGGCAAATGGACCAAGCAAGTCCAATCCCACTTGCTGAAATTACCCTTTTGGTGACCCTATCGGTTTCAACAGACCCGCAGGTTTCGAAGGTGTTATTTTGCGTCTTGGGCAATCCCGGCATGACTTGACATAATGGTGCACTGATTTCCTTAATTTCGGCCAATAATACTTCCAGCGGATACTGGCAAAAGTGCCATTACTACCCATATGGCCAGCCGATGAGTCGTCATGACACGCTTCTAAAATTTCTGCTCACAGCGATACTGGCATGAGACGCAGAAACGTCTCGCTGCTGTTTCCGAAGTTGCGCTTGTATAGGACGTCGTTCCAGAGGACATAGGAGGTCAATCGTTGGACGAAAACTTGTGGTACTTTAATTTGATGACCCTCCAAGTATTGAATTAGTGGACGTAGCTCCGGGTCCATTCGCTGACGGTGAGCCATTTCCGACACACTCAGAATTCTACGAAATTGGATGTCTTGTTCTTGGTCAGATGATGGAGACTCCACAGGTGTGCGAGACAGAAAATCAGCGTCATTGATCCCGGTTGCGGCGGCTGCATTTCCGATGAAGGCGGAAATGTTGTAGGCCCGTGTGCTCAGATTTGGGTGCACGTTAAAGAACCCCAGGTGGTCAAAATTTTCGGAGCCCTCCACTACGGCGTCTCTCATAATCATATGGTGGTTTTGGGACGTTAAACCCCACAAATCAATCAATCAGCGTCATTGTGATTGAGGCCCGACACAGGAATAACGCAGAAGTTTTACATGTAGTATGAATGAAACAGTACTACGAAAGGCACTGAACGATAAACTGCTAAATGTTCTCAAACATGAATGAATAGTACTTTTCAACATAAATGAATAGTACTTTTCAAAAAACTGTTCGGCATCTGTGTGCACATCGGGACGATGCATTTCAGGAGGGATAATAACGCTGCATGTTGTTAGACACCCGCTGTAGTCTTTTGCTGTTTTTTGCTCTTATGAATTACGCCAAGCGAATGGTACATTTTCGTTAGCCGTGTGAAAGGCTCAGCGACTTTAGCAAAGTTTTCGGCGAAGCTACTGAGCACAAGATGAATTAAATTAGCATCTTTTGCACAACAATTAAAAACGAACAATTGGCATTCCTTTCATAGTACTTTTCTCTGCCCACGTACTGCAGACCCCTGCGACCTTTTGCGCTCTACGGAAGAAATGTTACAAAGTATATGGTGCGGAAGACACTACCAAGACAACACAAACACAACCTCAGGACGTCCTTAGTACGCCTCCATGAGGACAATATGACGCCCTCAGAATGTCCTCTTAGCCCCGCCGTGGTGGTCTAGTGGCTAAGGTACTCGGCTGCTGACCGGCAGGTCGCGGGTTCGAATCCCGGCTGCGGCGGCTGCATTTCCGATGGAGGCGGAAATGTTGTAGGCCCGTGTGCTCAGATTTGGGTGCACGTTAAAGAACCCCAGGTGGTCAAAATTTCCGGAGCCCTCCACTACGGCGTCTCTCATAATCATATGGTGGTTTTGGGACGTTAAACCCCACATATTTATCTAGAATGTCCTCTTATGGTACAAGAATGGCACTAATCCTTACCCTTGTCCGTACACATAACAACCTCAGCACATCCTGAAAACAACACTTCAGGACGTTTTCAGTATATTTTCAGAATAACGATTGCGTGGTCAGTTCGGTATTGTGGGCAGTATTACTTCTTAGGATTTACTTCTCTTCATTATATTTGCATACATCAAAAGAAAAACACCTACTAGGTCTCGTGTATATATTGCCACGTTCTTGTTCTCAAGTTTTGTTATCGCCACACTACACTACGTAATTCTCAGCGCAAATCGCGTCTGCAGTCTTCGAGAAGCTTGGGGACTGTAGTAGATAATTTCGATAAGATCACGCCCACTCCGCGAACTATACAGATTATTCTGGAGCCTACGTTGCCACTGGTGATAGCGCTGGAACATTCAACGGCAAGTGTATAAATGCCGACGCGCTTCCCCGCTTGTCATTTGTTCGACGGCCGACGCTCCGTTCACCGCTGCCAGTGCAAGCCTGCTACTGTGATACGACTTTCCGTTTACCGGGCACAGGTTCGCCCAAATAAACAGCTTAATTTTCAACGCACTCTCTGCTTCCTCGTCGACGTCACGACCCCGTGACATCTGGTGCAGCTGCTGGGTATCAATCCCAGTCCCTCGCGCACGTAAACGAGCGTCGTCCGCAAGGAAAGGGCTGCCACACTGCTGGAGACAAGGGTGCAACTTCCTAATAAAAGCGTAACCCTCTTCGTCAAAGAGATGGCCCGGCTCTTTCGACACGCCGACTACAACATGGCCGAGGAAAAGAAGCTCCGGTTCCACATGCGCGAAGTCAAGCAGGAGCTGTTTGCGGGACTTGTCCGGAAACCGCCGAAGACTGTCAGCGAATAACATGCCGAGGCCACAACTATAGAAAAGGCGCTTGAGAAGCGCACAACGCAATACAACCACCGCGCCTCATTGAACTGCGCTGATGCCCTCAGTACCGACGACCTGCGCGAGATGTTTCGAGCGATTGTACGGGAGGAGCTGGGGAAGTTCTTGCCTTCAACGCAGCCTCAAGCCAATTCTATCGCTGCCATTATCCGCGAAGAAGTTCGGCAGTTGCTTGGAATCGCAGAAACACCGCAACGTGAACCAGAAGCAATAAGCTGCGCCACTGCAGTGCACCGCAACGCTCCTCCACGCCCTCCTCAGGACACAGCCCCGCCGCACTTCTTCCGCCAGGCACCGCCGCCACCACCGCCGACGCCATACCACCCGCCGGCTAGCCAGCGCTACGCTTCAAGGAAGACTGACGTCTTCCTTGAAGCGTAGCGCTGACGTCTTCAAGGAAGACTGACGTTCAAGGAAGACTGACGTAAGTGGGCACACTTACCGCCGTTGCCAGTACCGACAGATGGGACTGCGTGGCTTCACCGTCAATGCACCACGTCTGCAGCCAGGGGAAAGGCCACGTGACATCACCGACTACCTGACAGGAACTCAGTGGACACCACGAAGTCCTTCCCGTTCACCGTCGCCCAGCCGCCGCATGTCACCGCACAACCGGCAGAACTCTGGCCCTACGCGGGGTTGGTCTCCTAGCCGGTATCCGGGAAACTAAGGGCAGCAAGCAATGGAGGTGCGGTCGCTGTGCGACGAACTACCAAAGATCCTCTGACGACGACGCCGCCGCGACGGAGCTTTCCGAACACGACGCCAACCAGGCAAAGCCCTGACGGCGAAACCTCATTTACTGAAGGTGGCCTGACAATGCAACAGGGAAGCAACTTTTGTTTCAAGAGCTCTCGCTTCAGGGGCACGTTATTAGCAAGTCTGGAGTTCGTCCCTATCCACAGAAAACAGCCGCCATCACCGAATTCCCGCCGCGCACTGACAAGAAGGCGGTGCGCCGATTTATGGGGCTGCATGCCTAATATAGGCGGTTCGTGAAAAACTTCGCTCGCATCGCCGATCCACTCACTAGCTTTACCAAGGCCGACGTGGAGTTCAAGTGGGAAATGCCGCAGGAACATGCTTTCCAGGAGCTTAAACATCGCCTCCAGACGCTTCCGTTACTTGCCCATTTCGACGAATTCGTCGAGACAGAAATACACACTGACGCAAGCAGCGTAGGTCTTGGCGCCGTTCTTGTGCAGAGGGCTGACGGACTTGAAAGGGTTATTAGTTATGCCAGCCAATCGCTATCCAAAGCAAAAAGCCAATTATTCCACAACAGAAAAGAAGCGCCTCGCCATGATCTGGGCTACGTCGAAATTTCGCCCCTACCTCTACGGCGGGCCTCTACGGCAGGCCCTTCAAAGTTGTGAGCGATTACCACGTCTTGTGTTGGCTAGCAACCTTGAAGGACCCTTCAGGTGGCTTCGCACGATGGAGCCTGAGACTTCAAGAATATGACATTACCGTTGTTTACAAGTCCAGCAAGAAACAGTCCGACGCCGACTGTCTCTCTCGTGCGCCTGTCGACCAACCACCACCCGACGACCCGGATGACGACTACTTCTTGGGAACAATAACTGCCGACAACTTCGCTGAACGACAGCGGGCCGCCCGGAACTCAAGGCCCTAATAGACTGCCTCGAAGGCAGGACCGCCGAAGTCCTGAAGTTATTCAAGCGTGCACTTGCGTCGTTCTTCCTACAAAACGGTCTTCTCCAAAAGAAAAACTTTTCACCGATTCGAACCAAGTACCTCCTTGTGGTGGCTTCAGCTCTGCGGCCTGAACTCCTGCAGGCCCTGCCCGAAGATCTGATGGCAGGGCACCTCAGTGTTTCCCGCATGCTCACGAGGATACAAGAAAGGTTCTACTGGCCACGTCTTACCACCAATGTAACTCGTTATGTGAGGACATGCCGGGTCTGTCAGCGACGCAAGACACCACCAACAAGGCCAGCGGGACTTCTGCAGCCAATTGAACCTCTGCTGGAATTCCGTTCCAGCAGATTGGTATTGGTATGAATACCGTTCCAGCAGATTGGTATGGACCTACTGGGGCCGTTCTCGACGTCGGCTTTCGGAAACAAGTGGATCGTGGTAGCTACCGACTACCTAACCCGCTACGCCGATAGAAAAGCCCTGCCCAAAGGCAGTGCATCCAAAGTAGCTAAGTTCTTTGTCGAAAAAATCGTCCTACGTCATGGCGCCCCGGAGGTCCTCATCACCGACAGAGGAACAGCATTTACTGCTGACCTAACTCAAGCGATCTTGGCATACGGCCAGACAAACCACCGCCGGACGACAGCGTACCACCCACAGACCAACGGCCTCACCAAGCGGCTAAACAAGACGATCGCCGACATGCTGGCAATGTGCGTTGACGTCCAACACAACACGTGAGACGCCATTCTTCCGTACGTGACCTTCACATACAACACGGTGGTCCAGGAGACGACGCAGATTTCTCCATACAAATTGGACTACGGAAGGAGCCCAGCAATGACGCTCGATGCCATGTTACCCAACGGCACCGACGAAGAAAACCTCGATGTGAGTGAGTACCTTCAACGTGCCGAAGAAGCCCGACAACTCGCGCGTCTCCGTATCAAGAATCAACAGACGACCGACAGCCACCATTACAATCTTCGACGATGCTTCGTGGATTACCAGCCCGGTGAACGTGTTTGGGTGCGGACGCCGATACGCCAACGTGGACTCAGTGAAAAGCTTCCGCGACGGTACTTCGGACCATACAGTGTGGTTCGACATCTCGGCCCACTTGACTACGAGGTAGTCCCCGACGGCATCACGAACCATCAAAGACGCCGATCGCGACCTGAAGTCGTCCATGTCGTGCGCCTCAAGGTGTTTCATGCGCGTTAACAAACTAAAACAGTGTTTTTGTATTATTGCTGTATCGTAATGTATTCGTTATACTTTCTTGCATTATGGAGTTTTACAATAGTGCACCGCGAGCCCTTGCGGTGGAGTCGCTGCCACTGTGCATGCGTTGTAACGCGAGTCGGTGTTTGCGTTCGCGAACCGCACGCAAATAATCCGAAATTGCGTGCGGTAATGGTGGCCTGCATGTGACCGGCAAGCGCTGGTTTCGAGGCTACGAGCGGTGATGGCGGCCCGCATGTGGCCCGCAAGCGCTGGTTTCGAGGCTACGGTGTCGCTGCAATCGTGCGTTAAGGTTAGCAGCAGGGCAAACGGTATTCTAAAACTTATATGGCGCCCGCTACGCCCGCAACGCCCGCAGCGTTTGCAAACGGTATTCTAAAGCTCCCTATTGTTGTACTTTCATCTTCTGTTAAAGCATCGGGACGATGCCTTTTTTAGAGCGGGGCAATGCCACGTTCTTGTCCTCAAGTATTGTTATCGCCACAATACACTACGTAATTCTCAGCATTAACCGCGCCTGCATTCTTCGAAAAGCTTCGGGACTGTAGTAGATCATTTCGATAAGATCACGCCCACTCCGCGAACTATACAGATTATTCTGGAGGCTACGTCGCCGCTGGCAATGGCCCTGGAACATTCGACGGCAAGTGTATAAATGCCGATGCGCTTCGCCGCTTGTCAGTTGATCGAAGGCCGACGCTCCGTTCGCCGGTCTAGCTGTCTCTTCTCGAGTCCTGAAGCGAGACCCGGGGTTGCGTCACGCGGACGTCGACCCCAGGGTTTCAAGTCGGCAAAAGAAGTCTATGCGGCACCGGCGTCTTGTACGCGCGACCGCCGCCCCTGGGTCTCGGGCCTTGCTGCCTGAAGCCCGCCTACCCCATGCAAGGAGGAGGTGCAAGGTCCCCGGTTCACGCCCGCCGTCCCGGAGTCCCCCTGCGGTCCACCTGGTACCACCAAGACCTGCGCGGCACCCGCCTCGGCTGAGCCGCTTCTTACCAGAGTGCAGCTCGACTGCACGTTACAAGTCACCCACGAGCCACGCCCAACCGGCGGCTTGCGGGGTCCACCCACCAGAATGGCCACGCCATTTGAACTCCTGGTGAGGGAGAATTGTTTCATGTTTTCCGCGCCCGAGGGCGATATCTCCGTCGATGAGGTAATTGACGCAATTGAAGAGACAGCTGGTGACGACAGCGTATTAGTACTGCAACTTATGGGGGGCGCAAAATTTCTTGTATGCACCCGCAATGCTGGCCAGGCGACGAAGCTAATGGTGGCGGAAGGGTTTGAAGTGAACGGGGCGAGGGTGCCAGTAGAGGCAGTCGGGCTGCCGGTTACATAAGTGAACGTTTACCGTTACCCCCCTTTTCTATCAGATGATGCCCTTAGCCATGCCTTAGCCCAAATTGGTAAAGTGAAGGGCATTTCGTTCGCCACACTAGCCACTCGCCAGACCAAGTTAAACGGGGTACGTGTGGTTAAAATTGAGATGTGCCGCCCAGTCCCCAACTTCATCACTATTGCGGGGCACAAAGTCATGTGCGAGTACAGAGGCATGCGCCGGGTGTGCGCGCGTTGTGGTGAAGTCGGGCATATGGCGACTGCGTGCACCACGGTGTACTGTAAGCGCTGCGGCACCTTCGGCCATGATACTGAGGGCTGCTCAGCAGACTGTAAACGTTGTGGGGGTCACCACGGAACATGCGAGTGCTTTCGTAAGCGCTCATACGCTTCGGCCGCCCGCGGCTTCCCCTCGCTATCTGAATCCGCTTCGTCACACTCTCAGTCAAGCGGCCCCGTCTCTGCCCGAGCAACTAACTCGCCGCGTATGCAGGTCCTTACGTCCAGGTCCGCATCCCGCACAACCGAGAGGGGATCTCCTTCCGGGGACCGCGACTTAGCCTCCAATCTGACTTCAGGCAGTGGCATGGGCGATCCGTCCGCCAGTGAGGGGGAGAGGCCCGGGAGTTTCGACGAGACTACCACCAGGTCGACCGAAACAGAGTCGAGCGATATCGAGACGGGTTCAGCGCAATCGTCCCCTCCTAAGCCGCCTCCACCCTCGGCGAGCCGGGATGACTGCGGGAATTCGCTGACCGCGGCTGAAGCGACCCCCGAGTCCAACGAGCAGGGAGAGGCCCTCCTCGCTTTATCCCACACACCCGTGAACGTCCTGGCCCCAGTGACCAGCCTGGCCTTGGAGGCTGGCACCCAAGACCCAGCCGGCAACGACGCCCCCATAAAAAGTAAAGGGTATTACTTTCTACCCGGCGACAGCGAATGCGACCATGCTGCACCGACTTCCTCCCCCACCTCCCATTCGGCACGCCCAAGCCGGAAATGGTGGGTGGTAGTGGTTAGAAGGAAAAGGAAAAAGGCACGTACCTAATTTCTGTCTGCCTTCAGGCGACACGGCGCAGTGCCTTATAGGGGTGGGGAGAAGGGATAAAAAGAATAGAAGGAAAATAGACGGAGAAGTAGACAGGCAAGCGACGGAAAAAACAAGGAGATAGGAAAGTGGGGATCCGGTCGAAGACGTCCAAGGGCGGGGCGCCACAATGCGAGAGCTGCACGGCATCAGGAGACCGCGGAGGGCGAACCAGTCGGCGGGAGCTACGCTGGCGTCGGAGATCGCGAGGGCACAACCATCCAGCTTGAAATACTGCGAGCGAATCGGAAATCGGACGCGAAAACTGGACAGATGGCCACTGGGCTAGAGCAGAGAGCTCGCTCACGCTCACGAAGACGCCCTGATGACGATAAGCGGTATCTGGGTGAGAGGGCAGCCAGCAAGGAGGCCCGGCAGCGTAGACCCGGGCCAGCTGGTCAAAGCAGTGATAGTGACGCTTCACCACACGCGAAGGCTCAGAAGCTCGAGAAAGACGGTGTAGCCAAAGGGGAACCACCCCCCAAGCCCCGAGACGCATGTCACTGAAGCGGCGCGCCTGCCCAGTCGGCTTCACGGCCCTTTTCTCTTCCTCTCGTTCGCTCTGGCCGCACTATGTCCCACTTGCCTTCCCTTCTCCTTCTGGTGCAGCACCCTCCTCGCCCCTTTCTGCCGGCACGCGGCTGTCGCCCATCTTGCTGGGTGCATTCGCTCACCCTTCTTTCCTTCTCCCCTCCAGCGCTTGGCATCGCGCACAATCGGCGGATGACGGCCACGCTGCTTGCTAGCCTCGATACTTCCCGCGTTTTGTTTTCTTCTTTTTAAGGTTTTTGATGGCCTTTTTGAAATTGTCTACGTGGAATATCCGAGGCTTTAGAGATAGGGCGAAACAAGCAGCCATCCTAGGTTTCGCTAGGAACCAGAACATAGATCTCCTCTTTATTCAAGAGGCGAATTTCCGAATGCCGCTGGAAGTGGTTAATTTCCGCCGAGATCATCAGACCAACGCCTTTTTCTCTCTGGCGACCACGAGAGCATGCGGGGTCGGAGTAATATTCGTATCAGGCAGATTTCGATCAAACTCCCATTGTATTTTCGGGGCGAATGGTCGGTATATAATGATTGACATTTTCATCGAAGGCAAAAAGATACGCATTGTGAACGTCTATGCCCCCGTGACAAGAAAAGATACGAATAAGTTCTTTCAAGAGAGGCACCAATTCCTCCTAGAGCCCATTCCCCACGTACTGGTTGGTGATTTTAATTGCGTGGTAGATTCTAACCGGGACGTGAAGGGGCCAAGCCAAGGACGATCAACCTACAATGCAAAAGAGTTGGTGAAAACCCTTCGGCACCTAAACCTCTCAAACATATGGGTACACCTCTTTAAAGACCGCTCCGTAGCAACCCGTACCTCTAGATCAGCAGGAAGTAGAATAGACCGGATGTACTTTCCGGACCTCCTCCTCCCTTTGGTAGAAGGATGCGAAGTACTCGCGCTCCCGGCCAACCTGAAAGAGAAGATGGATCATGCCCCGCTCGTCACGATGGTAAAGGGATCCCCCGGCCCGCACCCTGATAAAAATAGCTGGAGAATAGACGCTGAGCTGCTGAGAGATGAGACTTGCGTAGAAAACTTGAAAGCTGCCATCAGCGCATCAGTAAAAAATGCCGGACATATTACCCCCCCCCCCCCCTCTGTGGGATAAACTTAAGGGAGAATGGAAGGCCCTGTTACAAAAAGAAGGCAAAGCCAGAAAAAGACGTCATACACAAAAGATGAAAGAACTTCTTCGCCGGATGCAGATCATCAAGGCAGCCGACACGTTGACCTCATGTACAACAGAGTACCTGACCTCGCTCGAGGAGCAATACAACCAACTCCTCAGAGATTTCATGAGGCGACCTAGAAGTGAGCATGGACTGTTGGGCACGGCGACCGGAGTTGATGTGAGGGAAGTACGTGGAAATGGCTGTTTGCGAATTACGGAGGCAAAGCGCTTAGACGGTTCTGTAACCGACGACCCAGCAGAAATTGAGAACATCTTCAGAGAGTACTTCAGCATACAGTTCCAAAACACCAAACCAATAGACACCAATTGGGGACCCGATCATGTCAAAGAACATTGCAAACATCGGCAGCGAATTAAGGAGGAGGAGGAGCCAGCAACCCTTAGCGCTGAAGACTCCCTTACAGAGCTTCGCGAAGCCATAAAAAGCATGACCCCCAAATCTGCCCCAGTCGCTGATGGTCTGACTGCAGCCTTCTATGTGACTCGAAGAACCCTTGCTCGCGATAGTGAATGCGATCTTCAGGTCCTTTAAGAAACCCGACTCCTTTGGAGTGGGTAAAATTTTCCTACTACAGAAAGAGGGTGCACTACCAAACGAGCCCACGGCGTGGCGTACAATCACGCTTTTGAACACCGATTACAAGCTGGTAGCCACTATACTGAACAACAGGCTCAAGCTCCTGTTACCGGACATCATTAGCCCGTACCAAACGTGCGCGATTCCAGGAAGGTCGCTTTTTTGAACCTCACAGTGATCCGTGACTCTTTCGAATACGCGACGACAAGAGGTTTCAATGGTGTTTTTATTTCCCTAGACCAAGCTAAAGCATTTGACAGGGTACGACACCATTACCTCTTCGACGTGATGCAGGAGTTTGGCTTACCGGCAAGTTTTATAAAACTGGCAAAAACTTTGTACGAGGACATAACCTTCACCGTTGTGATAAACGGAGTCACAACGCCGGCATTCAAGTATAGCAGAGGCATAAGGCAAGGATGCCCATTGGGCCCGACCTATTTTGTCATGTCGTGCGAGCCGCTGATCAAAAGTGTTATTGCGCATGAAGGCATTCGGGGCTTCCCACTGACGGGCCAGGAGCAGGTGAAAGTGCTGGCATACGCGGACGACTTTTCCCTGTTGTTCGGGATGAAAGCAGCTTCCAAGCCTTCAGCGCGACGTTCACAAGATACGCGCAGGCATCCGGAGAGGCGATAAATGCGGAAAAGAGCAAGACGATGCTATTTGGAACTTTCCCCAGAGAAGCCCTAGGAAACATCGAAGTGGTGGCCATCGTTAAAGTACTGGGAATCTACTTCTCCAGTGAAGGGGTGGCACCAGCCACGTGGCAGAGAGCCCTCGAGAGGGCAAAGCAGGCAGCCGACCGCATTCGCCTCCTAAACCTAACGTTACGTGAAAAAGCACTGGCAGCAAGGACCACCGTTTGTGCGTTTGCGTTCTACGCCAGTAGGGTAGCGGTGATCCCTAGGAAAACCGCGAGCCAACTGAACACCGTGATCACCGATTTGCTAAGGAAAGGGAAACCGGCACCAGTCAGGCGACACCTCCTTCAACTACCCGAGGACAAAGGTGGCCTCGGCCTCCCACACGTACAAATGACCATCCAGATACTGGCCCTCAAGATTACCCGCATGCTTTATTACGCAGCGAGTTACGTTGGGAAGAATCTAATCAACTACTGGACAAGCACCATCACGCACTATCTGGAAAACCACAAACACACTGGCCCGCGCCCGAAAGGGCCCTCTCACTTTTACAGGATGGGGGCAAGTACGACAAAGATCATAAAAAAAGAAGCCCCGAACTGCGACATTGACAAGGACCCACCCGTCCGAATCGTCGAAGCGATAACAGAAAACTAGTTGTCCGAAGAAGAAAAGGAGCAGATCAAAAGCCTAGGACTGTGCAAACAAAAAAGCAATAAGTACCGACCGCGCGAAGTACATGACTTCAAGTGGAAGCGCAAGTGGCAAGTTTTGCCCTCGAGGCATCGCCTGCACCATTTCGGCATCACGCCGAATAGCCAGTGTCCTAATTGCCGCGCTGAGGAAACGATCTCCCACGCGTTGTTAGAATGCGGGGCGGCCAAGTCGGTATGGCACCTGGTTGCGAGGTGCTTCAGCATCCGCCCTCCCCCGGCCCTCGAAAAGAATAGGGGCTGCTTCGCAAGGCTGGTGATTGCCATCACACTCTTTGTGATTTGGAAACGCCGGTGCCTTGCTGAGGTAAAGAACACCCCAGTGAGAGTGGCCTACCCAGCACTAGCCATGATCAGGCAAAAAATAGTGCAGTACTTGACCAAGCAACTGGAAGCTGGCGGGAAGGACCAGTTCCTTCGCCGCTGGCACACAAAGTTTTTTTTCGTCAGAGGTGCGAAACTTCGTACCCCCCTAATCCCCTATTAACCCCTTCTCCCCAAAACGTTGTGTTACAAGTGTATGTATAGCGCCAGTCGAAGTAGTGTAATTATGCCTACCCATGTTCACGATCTGTTGTAAATATATGTATATATGATTGTAAATATATATGTGTCGTTTGTTTACGAATGTATGCGTAGTTTAACACAAACTATATATATATATATATATATATATATATATATATATATATATATATATATATATATATATATTGCTGCGACAGGTTCACCACATTCAAGTAGCCCGCCACAATCATCGTGGCACCAGCACCAGCAAGACCCGGCTCGGCTGGCATGCGCTACGCGTTCGGACGTTCAACAACGAGGAAGAGGAAGATAGTCGGATCTGTGCCACTCGGCTACTCGAACTTGACGACCATAGTTTTTAGAATCGTGGGCACAAGTTCGCCCTAATAAAGACGCTCGTTTTCTTAACCTGTCGGCGTCAGCATCGCTACATTTCTGGTGGAAGTGCTGGGTTATGAATCGAAGCCCCACGAGCTCAAGACAGCGTAGCCCCGACGACCAGCGTATCAACCCCGTGGAAGTGACTCCTGTACACCAGAGGGCAAGTCGCCGTCTTCGAGGTGACTCACCTGAGTTTGGTCCTCTTCACTTCACACCAAGGGGAATTCAAACGATGGATGCCACCACTATGACTAGCCAGGTAACACCGGCACAAGTGTTCATTAGCCAACCGCACCAGCCGCCAGTTTTCCACGGCGACTCGTACGAGGAGTTTGAAGATTGGTTGGACCTGTTCGAGAGAGTAGCGAGCTTGAATGGATGGGACGAAAGAGAGAAGCTCCGTCGCGTATACTTCGCCCTGGAAGACTTCGCGAAGACATGGTTTGAGAACCATGAAACCTCGTTGTCTACCTGGGAGGTATTTCGACGACAAGCGGTGGCTACGTTCGCGAACATAGACCGGAAAGAAAAGGCGGAGGCAGCTCTTCAATCGAGGAACCAGCTAACGAACGAGAGTGCTGCTATGTACATTGAGGACATGGTCCGCCTGATCAAGCGTGCGGATTACAACATGGCTGAGGATAAGAAGGTGCGCCATCTAATGCGCGGAGTGAAGCAAGAGCTGTTCGCCGTTTTCGTCCGCAACCCTCCGAGCACGGTTGCTGAGTTTTACTCGGAAGCGACGGCCATTTAAAAAAACACTGGAACAGTGGGCTCGGCAAAACAACCGGAATCTTAACTGCGCATCTGCACAGGTATTCCCCGGAGGCGTGCGAAACGACGTTGAAGCCCTGCGAGAGCTAATTAGATCAGTTATCAGAGAAGAACTGAGCAGACTACTTATGCCCCAGACTTCAACTGCACTATCTGTTACGAACGTTGTTCGTGACGAACTGAGGCAGGTGATACGAGAGCCAGAGCGTGAGCTGCAGCCGGTTCGACCTATCCGAACATACTCTGAGGTTGTCAGACAACCCACGGTGCACAGCAATGCAGCAGTTGCGATGGCAACGACTCCTCTCCCACCTGCGGCACGCAGCGCACCTCGTCCACGGGAACCGACAGCTACCTATCTGCCCCCAGGAGCACGTAGCACACATCACTATGTGGAGCGTAGGCCCAGGAAAAGTGACGTCTGGCGTGATCACGTGCGCAGGCCTCTGTGTTTTTCATTGTGGGGAAGCGGGTCATCTGTACAGATTCTGTCCTTATCGACAGGCTGGATTAAGAGGCTTCCCGTCATATGCACCGTGCCCCCGAAACGGCGAACGACCAGCGGAGATTGAGGAGTACTTGTCGACGCGCCAGAACTCACCAACTCTACGCCAACACCGGTCACGGTCACCATCGCCTATGCGCTACCGGTCATCCAGCCCACGTACACCTTCAAGGCAGCCTGGTCATCGCTCTCCAAGTCCACACCCGGAAAACTGAAGCAAGCGACCTGTGGAGGTGAGGCCGCTGATAACGTCAGTTACGAAGATCCTCCAATTTGGTTTGAGGGTGATGACGGTGTATTTCCGGTAGATGGGTGCAGCAATGAAAACGTTACTTCAGATTTGCGGTTGAGAATGGAAGGATGGGAGCTGAATGCCTTAGTCGACACCGGTGCTGATTATTCAGTGATAAGTCACAAGATGGTGAAAAAGCTAAACGAAGTTGTGACACAGTGGAGTGGATCGCAGATACGCACGGCAGGCGGTCACATTATTACGCCCCTTGGCAGATGCACTGCAAGACTTGAAATACGGGGCTTTATTTACGTGGCTGATTTCATTGTGCTGCCAGAATGTTCAAGGGAACTCATTATAGGAATGGATTTTTTGCGAGCTAATGGCGCCGTAATTAACCTGCGTAGGTCCAGCGTGTCGTTTTCGACTGAACGAGCTATACCTGTGGAGGAATCTGAGGAACGACGCCTAACTGCTCTACGCGTTGTTCATGATGACGTAACTGTGCCGCCACGCTGCAGTATAATGGTGCTCGTAGAAAATGACGCATTGTACAACCGCGAAGGCATAGCGGATACAAATGTAGGACTGCTTTTGAACAAAGGTGTCTGCGTAGCTAGGGGTCTTGTTCACTTGACGAATGGCCGTGCAGATGTCCTACTCACAAATTTCTCCAATGAGCTTCAACACATCGCTCAAGGCACGGCTATCGCCTATTTACATGACTTCTGTATGGCGACCGAACTATGCAGCTTAACGACATCAACCACTCGACCAGTGGCCTGCAACATCGACACATCCGTGACCGTCAATCAGAGCCTTCCGGACAGTCAGAAGAAACAGATTTACGCCTTGGTAAAAGAATTCTCTGATTGCTTTTCAAGTACCTCGAAGGTCCAGCGCACGTCAATCACGAAACACAGAATTATAACGCAATTCGACACGAGGCCTATATGCCAGCATCCATATCGGGTGTCACAGAAAGAACGGGAAATTATCAAGAAGCAAGTGGAGGAGATGCTTTCTGATGATGTCATCCAGCCTTCGAGTAGTCCATGGGCGTCTCCCGTAGTGCTCGTTAAGAAGAAAGACAACACACATAGATTCTGCGTCGACTACAGAAAACTGAACAGTGTAACTAAACGAGATGTCTACCCCTTGCCACGTATCGACGATACACTAGATCGGTTGCGATCCGCAAAGTTTTTCTCCTCCTTAGATCTGAAAAGCGGATATTGGCAAATAGAGGTCGACGAGCGGGACCGTGAAAAAACGGCATTCGTAACACCAGATGGCCTCTACGAATTCAAAGCGCTTCCATTCGGCCTCTGTTCCGCACCAGCGACGTTCCAGCGAATGATGGACTCTGTCCTCGCCGGATTGAAATGGCAGTCATGCCTAGTGTATTTGGATGACGTGGTGGTATTCTCTGCAACGTTCGACAAACATCTAGAGCGACTACGCACAGTATTAGAAGCCATCCGGTCAGCGAAATTGACAATCAAACCCGAAAAATGCCACTTCGGCTTCGAAGAGCTGCGATTCCTTGGACATGTCATTAGTTCCGAGGGTGTTCGTCCCGATCCCGAAAAGACAGCCGCTGTTCAGAGGTTCCCTACACCCAGAGACAAAAAGTCAGTGCGTCGATTTTTGGGTTTATGTGCCTATTATAGACGATTTGTGGAAAACTTCTCAAAGATTGCGGAACCTCTTACAAAACTGACAAAAGACGACGTGCCCTTCACATGGGAAAGCGAACAACAGAAAGCTTTTGACGAATTAAGGAAACGACTACAGGGTTCACCAATACTTGCCCATTCTGATGAGACAGCCGACACAGAAGTCCATACCGATGCCAGCAATGTCGGCCTCGGCGCCATCCTTGTCCAGTGGCGAAATGGTAAAGAGAAAGTGTTAGCCTATGCCAGCCGCAAACTATCAAAAGCTGAGGCAAACTACTCTGCAACTGAAAAAGAGTGCCTCGCAGTCATCTGGGCCATAAACAAGTTTCGACCCTACCTTTATGGTAGACCGTTCAGAGCTGTCAGTGACCACCATGCTCTATGCTGGCTGGCAAATCTCAAGGACCCGTCAGGTCGACTAGCAAGATGGAGCCTTAGGCTGCAGGAGTATAATATTACGGTCGTGTACAAATCGGGAAGGAAACACAGCGATGCCGACTGCCTGTAACGCTCTCCCGTCGATCCAAGTGTACCTGAAGAGGAAGACTTCCCGTTTCTAGGCGTTGTCGACACATCCAAAATCGCTCAACTACAACGAGATGACCCGGATTTGCTGGCACTTATACAACACCTGCAGGGTCTCGACGTTCAAGTCCCTCGCATATTCTCCAGAGGGCTCTCCGCGTTCTGCCTTCGAGGAAGTGTACTTTACAGGAGGAACTTCGAACCTAATGGTGAAACGTTTTTACTAGTCGTGCCCACCGCCATGCGAGAGGAAATTCTGCACGCATGCCACGACGAGCCAACATCTGGACACATGGGTGTGAGCCGAAGATTCGCCA